ATCTTGCTCAAGGACTATAGACAGCGGAAAGGCCCGGCGAGCAGGACAGTGAGGATAGAAATGATGAGAGCGGCCAGCCAATATAGCCACAACGCGGGCGCAATCGAAGCAGATCCAAAGTAGTAAACGTTGACGTATGGGGCTGCGGCATGATGCCCTGACGACGTCGTCGGCAATGACGACAACGCCACGACGACGATCGCGGCGGCGGTCACGACACGCAGTTTGAGTATACGAGGAGGACCTGTTCCCAAATCTAAGATAGCTGGTCGGCGTGTGGCCCGCCCCATCCCGCCCCACCCAACCTTCCGCTTCCCGTCCTTCCCGTTCCCGCACATCTCGTCTAGACTTTCGCAGTTCGGCTCGCCCCCTCGGCCGCTCTCCGGCCGCTCTCCGCCCGCCTCTCACGCCCCGCTCTCGCCGCTTCGCCGCTGCTCCGCCCCGCTCTCGCCCGCTCTTCCGCCCGCCTCGCCCCCGGGGGGCCCGCTCTCCGCCCGCTCTCCGCCCCGCTCTCGCCCCGCTCTCCGCGCTCTCCGCCCCCCGCTCTCCGCCCGCTCTCCCCGCTCTCCGCCGCTTCTCCGCCCCGCTCTCGTCCCGCCTCCGCCTCCGCTTCCGCCCGCTCTCGCCCCCGCCCTCCGTCCCGCTCTCCGCCCCGCTCTCCGCCCGCTCTCGCCCCGCTCTCCGCCCGCCTCTCGCCCGCCTTCCGCCCCGCTCATCTCCCGCTTCTCGCCCCGCGCTCTCCTCCCCGCTCTCCGCCCCGCTCCTCCGCCCCGCTCTCCGCCCCGCCTCTCCGCCCCGCTCTCGCGCCCCGCTCTCCGCCCCGCTCTCCGCCCGTCTCCGCCCGCCCTCCCCGTCTCCGCCCGCTCTGTCCGCCCCGCTCTCCGCCCCGCTCTCCGCCCGCTCTCCGCCCCGCTCCGCCCCTCCGCTCTCCGCCCGCTCCGCCCTGCTCCTCCCGGCTCCGCAGGTTATATGTGCGTCAAACTACGCTGTAGGAGACGCCAGTATTTTCCGCCTGAAATCGATGTATGTCTTCAAAATGTCGACAAAAACGCGGTAGCCCGCGAATGTGGCACGCCTTTTCCTTTTCTAGAACATGATAATGTTACGAACATTTAATGTGCAGGATAAACAGAAAACATAATAACTCTAAGTAGATTATGTCGTATTTAATTTTGAAGTATATTGTCCCTGTATTTATGTCTGTATTTAATTTTGAATATCTAGAGAGCCAATTAATTAATAAACAGTTCATTCGTCTTGAAAAATTGAAGGCGTTCCGGGGCAGTTTCCCGTGCTGGCGCTGCGCGCTCCCGCTTCCGCCCCCGCGAAGACTGCTAAATGATTCAGCCTCGCTGGGTGAAAGGGCGTTGGGTATTTATGCGCGACCGGCGACATCTGCCGGGGGATAGGGGATAGTGCGCTTGCACGTGAGGCGACACAGGTAGGAAGGACGTTGGAGTATGAGGAATTTCCGGACGAGGAGAGGATGAGAAGAAGCAGGAGGCGAGAAGATGATAAAGATGAGAAAAGGAGGAGAAGAAGGAGGAGAGAGAAGGAGGAGAGGAAGAATCAGGCATGATGTAAGAAGGAAGGGGAAGTAAGAGATGGATGAGGACCAAAGAGGAGGAAGTTAACCAGGAGATGAGAAAGCGAAAGGGAAGGAATGAAAATGTGGGGCGTAAGACAGGGAAACGAAGTTTTTTGGGGAGTATAATAACGGAGGCGAAGTTTACCCAACCCACCAAGTTTGCACTTCTTTGTTTATAAAGTAGTTATATTTCATTACAGAAAAAATACATTACGGTAATAAATATATTCTTTCTAATGTAGATTAATTCGCCTGAAAATTATAGTGATTTTTAATACCAAATCTTACGGTTTACCATCCCTTCGTAGCATGTGTATTGTTCTGTAGATTGCTTTTCTTCTCCTTGTTAACTTATCCCAATAATGACCGCGTGACATTCTGATCGGACAAAAGAGAGTAACTGTCTTATTATCGGACAATAAGAATAAATAATGGATATAGCATTGCTATTCTTTGCTTTTCTTCGACTCATACGATTACATGTAGTAAAACATTCTCCCTAATTTTACACATGATTTCGAAGACTCACAGCATGAAATTCGATGATAGTTTACTGTGGGGTGTTCAGCCAACCCTGGACTACACAGATTACTATATTCTTGAATCGACGTTATAAAGTAAGGATGAACCTTACTTCGTAGCTTCACATGCACCGTATTGTGATAGGATGAGACATTTAGTTTGGGAAATAGTCCATTGTAGGAGCATATCCTTGTTCTTATCACTACCTAGCAACTGATCCGCTAGTAATTGTGTCAGTTTTGCATTCATTATGATTACATGATTTGCATACTGTAATGAATAAAAATTTACCGAGTGATGAAAGATGATGGTAATGATGAAAAACGTGGCTAGAGAAACTGCACAGCAGGGCAGCTAAAACGGAGACAAGGCTCTGGCCGCCGGCCAAGAGTCGACGAACAATAAGAGTTGAATGAACAAATAAAACAATACGTGCTGGGAGGAGCGTAAATGGACGTTGACGAAAAAGTTGTGAAAAAATTAAGAGGCAGATTGTCTTCAGAGACGCTCTTGGCCATTTTTTTGTTTCTTGGACCCGCCGCCGACCGCCGTCTGGCGCCGGACGCCTTAACCAATGGAGTTGGTGTGAGTCTGGCAAGGACAACCGACAAGTTAAAATGTAGAGCACCGGATTGCCTAAAACACTTTGCTTGACGCTGCGATGAGGTGACATATGATTGCGGAGGGCGGAGCGAAGCGAAAGGGACAATCAGAGGTGGGGCAGATGAAGATGTGGGGTGGGTGAGCAGGAGATCCACGAACCAGGATGTACTGGACGGACCAGAGAGCAGGATAGATTAACCCCAGCGTAAGAACTTTCGCGAAGAGGATCGATTGGGAGCGGTGTGGATAATTCGGCGGAGTGGAAAGACTCGGGCAGAGAGAAGATGAATGACTCGGCAGATAATAGACTGCGGCAGATGAAATAGACTCGGGCAATAAAATAGACGAGAAAAAAAAAAAAGAGAAAAAAAAAAAAAGCGACGTGGACTCGGCGCGGGTGACGCGGCGAGGCAGAGAGGATGAGTGAGCATAGTGGATTGCTTGGGAATAACGATGGCGTGTGGAAGACGTACGGCAGACGTACGGCAAGGGTGGGCTGGCGTGGGCACAGTGGCGGCGGGGTTGACGTGAATGGCGTGGCCGTGTGTGGATTGGCGTGGAGCGCGTGGCGGGAGAGCGGAGTAGGAATGGGAAAGGGCGGCGCGGGAGGTCCGGAGCAACGTGGAGCAGGGAGACCGGGATCGCGGCGGGCGGGAAGGTGCACGCGACCACGCGATTGGCGCGGGGCGGGAGCGGGGCGGGCGGGGCGGGCGGGGGTGCGGGGCGGGGGCGGGGCGGGGGAGCGGGGCGGGGCGCGCGGGGCGTGCTGCAGGCGGGCGGGGCGGGCGGGGCGGGGCGGGGACGGAGCGGGGCGGGCGGGCCGGGGCGGGGCGCGGCTGGGCGGGGCAGGGCAGGGCGCGCGGGGCGGTGC